CTGTGGCCCATTTCTCCCAGTTGTTCTCTGACTCCTATCCTCTCTCACCTACTCAGGGACCTTGATGCCATAATCATCTCTCACTCTTCCTTATAAGTCAGTGTTTCATTCCTTTCAGAACTCTTTGTCAGCAAACATATATTCTACACTCTCCTAACAGTGAAATATCCCTTCACTGCTGCACAATCCCTGTGTCCACCTGAAGATGAGACCCCTCAGCTCTTTCTAGAGTATTCCTTACTTCTCATTCTGCCAGTCAATGTGACTCCGCTGCACAGAAACTGCTTCTGTCATTGACCGTCATATGGGCAAATCCAATCATCATACTGTGCAACCGTATCCTCCTTGAAATTTTTTTATTGCTTTCCCCGCCTTTTTATTGGTTTTCCTCCTGCCTTAATGCTACTCCTCCTAGTCCCCAACCCTTTTCCTCTTTCTAAATGTTTAATTCTTCAAGATTTTGTGGCTCTGACCTCTAACTTCCTTTCTCTCTATCTTCACCCCTTTGATCACCTCACTCTTGTGGCTTTACATACCACTTGGACCCTGATGACTCCCAAATTTGTATTCCTTGCCTAGGCTTCTCTGTGGAACAACAAAGAATACATCCAATTGTCATTGTCTAAATTGTATGTTTACTTGGCATTATCAACTTAACTTTCTCAAAGTAAAACTCTTGGTTCTCTTCCAACTCCAGCAGGAGGATTTTGTTTGTTTGTTTGTTTGAAAGGCAGAGTTATAGAGAGAGAGCATAAGAGACAGAGAGAGAGATCTTCCATCCACTGGTTCACTCCACAGATGGCCACAGTAGCCTGGTCCAAAGCTAGGAGCCAGGAGCTTCTTCTGCATCTCCCATGTGGGTACAGGTGCTCAGGTACTTGGGCCATCTTCCGCTGCTTTCCCAGGCCATTAGTAGAGAGCCAGATTGGAAGCAGAGCAGCCAGGTCTCTAACTGACACCCATATGGGACAGCAGCTCCACAGGCAGTGGCTTTACTTGCTATGCCACAGTGCCAGCCTCCATCAGGAAGATTTTAACCCAACCCCTTCCCCGGCCCCAAGTTGCTACTCCTGCAGTTTATTCTTTGCACAATAATTTAGGTGACTCTTTTCAGTCACGAATCAATTCTTAACACTTGTCTACTCTCTTTTCCAAGATCTTCTCAACACTGAGCCTAATTGCAAATTTCTTGTGTTGACCTGTAAGACCCTGTAGGATCTGTCTTCTCTCCAACATCTTTCCTGCTTAATTTCACTCATCCACATTGGCTTCCCTGTCCCACTTCTGCCAGTTCCTTTGAACTTGCCCTTTTCTCTGCCTGGAATACTTTCCCTGCTTCCTTTTTGGCTTCAGTCCCCAAAAGCCCTTAACTCAAAGAGGCTTTCCCGACTTCCTCCTTTACCCAGCCCGTACTCCCTTCCCTACTCCATTCTCACTGTGACTGTTCAACAGACCATTGATGGTTATAGAGATCAAATAATAGATTTACCAGTATGCTTTCTGTTCCGTTAGAGTGTACATTCCACGAGAGCAGAGATTTTGTCTGTTTTGTTCATTACTGCCTCTTTATCTCCTAGAATAGTTCCTGACATATGGGACAATGCATTTAATAAATATTATTTGAATGAATAAACAGTTATTGAACAAATAAAGAGGAAGCATTTTGATGGAAGATGAGAGGAAGATACATTTTGTGAGCAGAAGACAATGTCAGAGACAAGCTTAGCATAGAGTAAGATAGGGCATCCCAGGAGATACAGAAAAAAATAGGAGCCTGCGTTGTGGCATACCAGATAAAGCTACCACCTGCGACAGCAGCATCCATATAGGTGTCAGTTTGAGTCCTTGCTGCTCCACTTTCAGTCCTGCTCCAGCTAATGCAGCTGGGAAGGCAGCAGAAGATGACCCAAGTGCTTGGGCCCCTGCACCTACAGCGGAGACCTAGAAGAAGTTCTTGGCTCTTGGCTCTGGCCTGGCCCAACCCTGACTACTGCAGTCATTTTGGGGAGTGAACCAGCAGATGGAAGATTTCTCTCTGTCTCTCCCTCTCTTACTCTTTCAAATAAATAAAATACATCTTTTAAAAAAAATCCTAAATTTACTAGTTTCCCTAGAACCAAGAACAACTCTAGATACTTTATACAGAGAACATGATTTGAGAATTCCTATCTTCTCCATTATATGTGAGAACACTGGGCATAGGAATTTGAGTAACTAGACCCAAATCACACTGTTTATAAATGGTAGAGCCAAGATTTAACCAGGCCAGGTGCCTTCAGAGTCACTTTCTCAATTACTACAATACACAGCCTTGGAGAAGAGGCAAGTGTGAGGCCCTTCAAACTTTACCTATTGCCCAATATTGCCCAGAGTCAATCCTATCTAGGGTAGCCTTAGTGTCCTTCCCACATGTGCTACAGAAGAAGTACATCCAGTTTTGCAAAAACATTTCTACAAAATGACATTTCCTTAAGAGGCTCCTTAGCTTGTCACCTGTCTGCTTATAGGAGTCAGCCTGCATGTGTGTGAAAAGGTGGGAGTAGCACAGGCCATGTGCCTGGGATGATAGGCATGTGGCCTGTATTCCCTTCTGTAGATACCAGCTCTTCCATCTTGGGTAAATCTCCTCACCAGTCAGTGTTTGCATTGAATTTTCTACATAAAGAAGGGAAGAAGTAGAAGAAATGAGTCCAAAATTACCTCCTAGGTATAAAGTTCTGTGATCATATTGACTTCTGGACAGCTGAAGGACTTCTGTGTGTCACCTCTGCCACACTGTGAGGTTTCGTCAGAGTTAAGGAAGAGGTGAAAATTCTTATGGGAGTGAGCGCAGCTCTATTGTGATCTTTATCTATTGTGCGCCACAGTGTGTTTTGCCTTCTCAAGGGCCCCAGTAGGAAACCAAGTTTCCTCATAAAGCTTTCTACAGCAAGCACTTAAAAATAGACTGGGAATAAATTCATCTAACCTAAATAGGAGGAGCACACTTCACACATGGATCACAAAAGGAGCGACTTCTATCATCCCTTTCGCTTCACATTGGAAGCTCTTGCCCAGGCCAGTCCAAGTCAAAGTCACCCCTCAAGCTCAATTTATATTCTTCTCTGACTGAATGAACCTAACTGCCCATTTCCCTCACACCTGTACTTCAGGGAGAGCAATGTTATCTCCAACTTTCTCCACTCACAGCAGTCTCCAATACAAGATACCAGCAAATCTCTACATGGGAAGATGGGAAATACTTTCCTTCACTTCTTCCTTCTTTCTTCTCTCTCTCTCTCTCTCCTTCTCATATACACAAGAGGATTTCAAAAAGTTCATAGAAAAGTGGAATTAAGAAGTAAGTTGAGGCTGGTGCTGTGCCATAGCAGGTAAAGCTGCCACCTGTGGTGGTGGCATCCCATATGGGCGCCGGTTCCAGATCCGGCTGCTCCACTTCCCATCCAGCTCTCTGCTATGGCCTGGGAAAGTGGTAGAAGATGGCCCAAGTCCTTGGGTCTCTGCACCTGTGTGGGAGACCCAGAAGAAGCTCCTGGCTCCTGTCTTTGGATCGATGCAGCTCCAGCTGATGTGGCCATCTGGGGAGTGAACCATGGATGGAAGACCTCTCTCTCTCTCTCTCTCCCTCTCTCTCTCTCTCTCTCTCTCTCTCTCTCCGTGTAACTCTGACTTTTCAAGCAAAATAAATAAATCTTTAAAAAAAATGAAGTAAATTGATTTGAGTACAAAAAAAATTTTTTTAAGATTTTTATTTATTTATTTGAGAGGTAGAGTTACAGACAGTGAGAGGGAGAGACAGAGAGAAAGGTCTTCCATTGGTTCACTCCCCAAATGGCTGCAATGGCCGGAGCTGTGCCGATCCGAAGCCAGGAGCCAGGTACTTCCTCCCGGTCTCCCATTTGGGTACAGGGGCCCAAGCATTTGGGCCATCCTCCACTGCCCTCCTGGGCCACAGCAGAGAGCTGGACTGGAAGAGGAACAGCCAGGACTAGAACCGGCACTCATATGGGATGCCCATGCCGCAGGCAGAGGATTAATCTACTGAGCCATGGTGCCAGCCCCACAACAAAAAATTTTTGAAATCCATGCATTTTTTTTATAAAATGCACCTTTTTTAAAAAAGGGGATTTATTTATTCAAAAGACAGTGTTAAAGAGAGAGAAGGAGAGACAGAGAGAGAGGTCTTCTATCCACTGGTTCTATGTCCCAAATGGCTGCAATGTCAGCGCTGGGCCAAGCCGAAGCCTGAAACTTCATGGGTGGCAGGGGACCAAGTATTTGGGCCATCTTCTGCTGCTCTTCCATTAGCAGGGAGCTAGATGCGAAGTGGGGCAGCTGGGACATGAACCGGCACCCATATGGTATCTGCAACACAGGCAGCAGTTCTACCAACTAAAATATATTTTCCACAAACTGTTTGAAGATCCCTGTATGTACGTACTGTTTCTTTGGAGAACTCTAACACAGTTAGCAATTATTATCTCTGTTTGCATCATGAATTGATATCCTTTATCCTAATGCTTTGTTTCAACCACAGGCAATCCGTAATCACACTGACCTTTCACCTTAATCCTCCCAACTCTGAAGATAAAAGAAAACTATGAGGAGAAAATTAAAATGTGCCTTGGAAAGATACAAAGAGGCAAGAATGCTCATGGCAGGCTTAGGACATGAGGAGCCTGAGTAGAATGAGGGTCTCTGTAGGGAGTAATGGGACTTATGATTGGTGATGAGTAGGAGCAGCCTGTGGAAAAGTTGAATTTCAGCCTTTGAAGTTCAAGGTTTTTATTCCCCTATCAGAAATGGGAAGCTGGTGAGGCTTTGTGAAACCAGTGCTGTAAGATAACAAAATGTCAATGAGTACAGGATTACTTAGGAGGAGGAAAGAACCAGGGAGAGGGAGAGAGCAGGTGGAAAACACCCATGCACACTGGTGCCATGCCGATATTCATGAGCACAGTTCATTAGCAGTCGGGCAGTAGCTGTCTCACACTGTTTACCTGGGGCCACTCTTGAGAACACAGTGAGGTCCCTCATCAGGGCAGAACGATGTCCCTCTCTTGGGTCTTCTTTCTGTTTTTTCTCTGCTGTGAACCTGCCTTCTTCCCAGGATCCAGTTTCCCATGGCTTGTGCACAGGTCAGATGGGGGCAGGGCAGATCATTTGTGTTGTCCTTTTGACTTGGGTAAAGTCTTTCCTGGTTTCACCATAAGAGGATGCCTTGTGGATTCTTCTCTTTTAATATTTTTTCTTACTTTTAATATGTATATATCTTTTGAGTAATTTATATCATAACCATTACCTGCTGTTAGTTTATTTGAATTTTAAAACTTTTTCTGGAGTATTTTTTCATATAAAATCTAGATAATCCAAAGCCAAAATAACGTATAAAGCCAATCTTAAAAAAAAAAAAAAGGAACTAACCCTGGTTTTAAAGTCTATATTTAACACTGCTAGGGAAAGAAACACAGTTGGTTACTTTCCCAGACTATGCTAATTAACTGGAAAAATAATACTTTCTTATCTGCCATTGGAGGAGAAGCTGACCAATAGAAAAGCAGTTCAGCACCTACACCCACTCTTTGTACAAAATAAGGAGAGGTGTTTGTACACGCCAATAAAGCATTCATTTGGTTGCTTGACAACCAGTGACAAATGTGCCTTTCATCATCTACCACAATGTTACCTTGAGATTTCCAGCTCTAATCTCAATGAGATTCTAAAGAGAGCAGTCAGTTTAGAAAACTAGATATCATTTCCAACAGGTCACAAGCGTTTATAAACACTTCTAGCATGACAGATTTCAGAAACAAGGACAGTTTCCTAAAACTGCATGCATTTTTCTGTTGTTTTTCACTTGCAAAAAAATAGTTATTCATACATCTACTTCATTCCATTGACAAGAAAAGTATGTACTGCATATGCTTGATGAGGATTACAAGAGAATTTGGGGTCTCTTTCAGCCATATCTGAACAGCAGTGCATTTGCAGGTATTACTTGATTATAAATGCTGCCTTAAAATCTTGAAGCTGTCATTTTCACTGTGTCATTTGGCTCCATTTCCCACAGCTAGAAGGGTAAAACATTAATTTGATTGTGTCTATAGTGCTTTATAGCATTTACAGTGTTCTCATGATTTCTTTTAGACTTCATGAGTTCTTCCAATGCATTGTAAAATCTTCAAAGAATAATAACACTGCCTGCTTTTATGGGACACTTATGTTCTCTGCCTAATTGAATCCTTGCAGCAGTTCTATAAGTCATGCAGAGCAGGTTATCTTTAGGGCTGTTTATAGATGATGAAAGAGAGGCATAGGGAAGTTGCTTGTCTGAGCTCCTAGGTTGGTCAAAAGCAATGTTGGAGCCCTGGGAGGCTCCAGAACCAAATATGATAAAAGATACATTTTGTATGTTTCCATGGCACTTTTCAAGGTAGAAACTGGGGCAAGTGTTGTGATGCAGCAGGGGAGATGTTGATAGGGACACCCACATCTCATATAAAACTGCCTGGGTTCGAGACCCACCTCTGCTTTCAATCCAGCTTCCTACTAATGGGCCTAGAAAGCAACAGATATTGACCCAAACCCTGGCATCCATGTGGGAGACCTAGATGGAGTTCCAGGCTCCTGGCGTCTGCCTTTCTGAGCCCTGACCATTGTGGGCATTCAGGGAGTGAATCTGCAAATGGAAGATCTCTGTCTCCCTCATTCTCTTTCTCTGTATCTCTAGCTCTGTCCTTCATTCTTTCACTCTTTCAAATAAACAAATAAATATTTTTTAAAAAGATGTAGAAATATAAGAAAATAGTAAGAATAAAGTACATGGAAGGGGGAAAAAGAAACATGTTTCTCCATTCTTTCTTGGTAACCATGTATAATATTCAACAGCTGAATAATAACACAATACTTTTCCATTTATCTTACTTTAGGCACATGCCTACTGTCTCCCTATGTTCCCTCTCAATTTTTATGAGAGCAGAGACCAAGCTTAAACCATACATTCATAGTTAGAAATCCAGAGCCAAACATACATAATAGATGGCAGGAATATTTCAATAAATATTTATTGAAGCAACTAATGAAAATATCTCTTAGATTAAAATTGCCCCAAGTGAAATTCAACCACATAATTTTAAGTTGGTGATAATATCTGTTTCAGTTGAGACAGAGAAGGTGAAGTGACGTTGAATGTCTTCAAACAACAAAGTTTGTTTCTTGTTCTGACTGCACAGCCAGCATGGACTGCCTGTGGGATTTTTTTGGTGAAGGAGTAGCCTCATCTGGAACATGGTTGGTTGCAACAGCAGAGGACAGTGAGTCTTGGAGGGTCTTGCATAGGAACATTCAATACACCAACTCAGAAATGACGCTGCCACCTCCACGCACAAGTCATTGACCAGAACTGGTCCCAGGCACCCTGCCCTCTTCTGGCCTCACCCACAAAGGAGTCCAGGTACTGCCTCGGTGGGAGACAGAGGAAATAATCCACCAAGTGCCAAGTGCTAGCAATATCTATCGAGTTTCATTTCCTTGATTTTGAGCTTTTGTGATTTAAATAACAAAAAGCAATTTTGCTTTTAACCTTTATTGTTGCTATGGTTTGGACATGGTGTGTGTCCCTCCAAGGTCCACATGTGTGAGGCCTGGCCCTCAGTGTGGCAGCAAGGAGGTGATATGAACCTTCAAGAGGTGGGGTCAAGTGGGAAGCCCTTAGGTCAAGGGCTCTGCCCTTGGAAGGGCTTGTGGGACCCCAGCCTCTCTCTGGATTTCTGTTTCAAGATGAAATCTATTCCTTCCACATGTGCTTCTGCTATCACCATCTGCCTTGATGTGACACCATCAAGACTCCCCCCCAACTAGAGCTGAGCCAAGGCCAGTGCTATGACCTTGACCCTCCAAAACTGTGAGCTAAGTAAACCTCTTTATAAAGTTAGCCATCCTCAAGTGTTTCATTATGATAACAAAAACAGACTAGTATACTTAGAAAATACATCGTCCTCACACTGGCTCTGATGAGAAAGTGATAGTGAAATTGAATGCTTGAATAAGATCAGATAGAATAATAATCAAATAGAAGAAGAAATAGATGATTCAAATCTCCATATCCACTAGTACCGGGTGAAGTTTATTTATTCCACATTGTGAAGGTAAATTACCAGGGGACATGAAGTAACAATCATTATAAAATAAAATCATTGCTGCAATTTAATTGGGTTCATGGACAAGATTAAAAAATTCTTCATGCCAGTATTTTGGCTATTATCCTGGTTCCACAGAGAAGGGACATCTGGGGTAACAATTCAGGACAGAGCAGCATGAAGCGTGGAAAAATACATCCTGGTATCCCAAGGTCATGCTTTAGGCATGAGGCCAAGAATAACAAACAACATGACCTGAAAGATTGTGGATTCTGAGTACACAAAACTATTCCTCCCTAACTTAAAACAAGAAATAAACTGATTATTCACTAGTGAATATTAATAAAATTAATTCATTCATTATTGCACAGAAGGATTGGAAACTAATCAAGAAAATGGGTAGAATTCCAATGGCTCATTCACCTGTATCTCAAATAGCTCACTCAAGAATCACAGATCCTTTTTATTTACATGACCCTACACCACCAACCTTTTCAAAGCCCTGTGACATGCTTTGTGTATCATTTACCAATAGCTACTTGTTTTCAGAAAATGATTTCTTTAACACATTAACTGAAAAAAAAAAACTTAATGAAGGCATGGAATGCAGAATCTTCTTGATTCTCTTTTGGGACATTAAGCAGTGATCGCCAGGTCAGCCCCTGTGGTGAATTCTTTTTGTAGTATATTTAGCTATGCTTCAAAAGCATAGATTAAAAAGTCACAAAATCTAATTCAAAAAAAGTAAACTGCTGGATTTATTGTTACTGAGCTGTGATAGGATGTGTAATGGTATGGTTTAAAAATGTAATTTCTTTTTTTAATATTTATTTATTTTAAAGGCAGAGTTTCAGAGAGGCAGAGACAGAGAGAGAGACATCTTCCATTTGCTGGTTCACTCCCCAAATGGCCACAACAGCCACAGCTTCACCAATCTGAAGCTGTGCCAATCAGAAACCAGGAGCTAGGAGCTTCTTCTGGGTTTCCCACGCGGGTGCAGGGGCTTGGGCCATCTTCTACTGCTTTCCCAGGCCATAACAGAGAGCTGGATCAGAAGAGGAGCAGCCAGGACTCGAACCAGCGCCCATATGGGATGCTGGCTATGCCTCAGTGCCAGCCCCATAAGTGGTACTTATTGATGAGCACATTAAAAATAACTTAGTTGTGACTCATCTACTAAACCAGCGCCCTTATGGGAGGCACAGCAGGCAGCAGCCTGACCCACTATGCCACAGCGCCAGCTCCCTGAAAATGTAATTTCAAGGACTGTATTACCAACAGATATATTCTTCAGGACAGTCTGACTTTGTTTATCATATGTCAATTAAAATAAAGGGATACAGCAAAGTCATTAATGTTCTCAAATGCTGGGCATGTAAGTGCTTAAAAGTAAGGTCAAAGCCCCAAGGAGAATTCAAAATACTTTCTATTTCCAAGCTTAAAATTTCCCACATCAGCTGTTCCTTGTTGCCAAAAATGTTCACATTTGTGAAAGCAATGTTCTTCCCTATTTGCCTCGAAACTTTGGTCCAAACATTTGAGATATTTAAATAAGCAGTATTTTTTTAAAGATTTATTTATTTATTTATTTATTTATTTTGAAAGGTAGAGTTACAGAGAGGCAGAGGCAGAGGCAGAGACAGAGAGGTCCTCCATCTGCAGGTTTACTCCCCAAGTGGCCACAATGTCCTGAGTTGGGCCAATCTGAAGCCCGGAGCCAGGAACCTCTAGGTCTCCCATGAAAGTGCAGGGGCCTAAGCACTTGGGCCATCTTCCACTGCTTTCCCAGGCCACAGCAGAGAGCTGGACTGGAAGTAGTGCAGCTGAGTCTCAAACCAGCGCCCATATGGGATGCTGGCTATGCCTCAGTGCTGGCCCCATAAGGCCCCATAAGTGGTACTTAATGATGAGCACATTAAAAATAACTTGTGACTCAGCTACTAAAATGCTCCATCAAAAGAAAAGGCCATCCCCCAAAGAATGTTCATTATAGCACAGTCTATAATAGCTCCAAACTGGAAATCATCTTAATTTCCATCAGAAGAATAAATTTATAAATTCTAGTATATTCGCAGAATGGAATTCAATGACCTACAACTGTCCACAACAGTACGCAAAAATCTCACAAAATAATGAAGCCAAATATAAAAGAATGCATACTTAATTGTTTTATACCAAGTAGAAAGAGAGGTAAAATTAATCTACGTTGTTGAAAGTCATCATAGACGCTACTCTTGGAAGGAGGAAGAAACCGGAAGGTAGTCTGTTAGAGTTTTCAGAAGTTAAAAAAAAAAGTGTTTCTTGATTGAGTTCTGGATAAAGATGTATTCAGACCGTGAACACTCCTTGTGTTGTATACACTTGTGATGTATGTACTTTTCTATATGTGTATTATATTTTAGCAAAAGCATAAAAAGAAATCCAGGACATCCATGAAAAGTGACTGTCAATCCGACACAGAAATCCTCAAAGTCACTACCAGAATTTGTGAGCGGTGGAAGAATCACCTTCTAAGCAGAGTATTAAGTGCACTGGACTCCCTGCACCAGCCTGCACCAGAACCCTGAAATGCCAAGGTAAGTAAACCCTTTACATTTAAAATCTCTAATCTCCTCTTTTCTCTACTCCCAGTGATATCTGTCTGGTTTTTAACCCATGTCATTTCTCACCTTGAACCTCGCCAGCCGTCCTCTCCTAACCAGTCTACCACCAGCCCAGCCTCCCTGTTCTCACATTAACCAAAGCGGTTCACTCCTCTGCTGCTGCCCTCTGCTCCCTCACTAGGCAGGAGCCACACCGACCTCCTTCTGCGCTTCCAGAACCTCAGGGCCTTTGCTCGGCTGTCCCCACAGCCCAGAGAGGCCGCCACTCCGCTCGTTCCACGGCCTGACTACCTGACTTCCTCTCTCTGTGAGACGCAGCCCACACGCCATCTTACAAGGTTCTCACACAAATATCCCCTACCCACCCGGAGTCAACCCCAGTATCCGCTATGTTCACGCCTTGTCTGTGTCGTTTCTGGACACGGTTCACTAATGTTCCACCCTTGTGTACTTGTCGGGTTTCTCCCTTGCCTTCCTAACCAGACCGCAGACGCCACCGAGGCAGCTAACATGAGTGTGTGGGGCAGGACTGTAGGGGCCGGCGCCTCGCGGGGGCCTGGCATCCCGAAGGTCCTTCACCCCCTCCCCTCAAAGGGAACTCAAGATGCTTGTTGACCACGACGAACGCTGCGCTGCGAATTTTTCAAGGCAGAGGCAGTGAAACCCCAAGCCCTTCCAGCTAAGCGTAGGCATTCCTGGCCTCGGTCCCCGAGCTGTCACAACCACCGCCCCCTCACGACACACTCGGCTTCTCCACCCGCTGGCCGGTCACCAAGCGTCTCGTCCCCACCCACCGTCCAGGCGCGCCCCATCTTTGGCCGGTGCGCCTACCTCAGGAGGGTGGGGCGCCTCCTCGAGCAGCTACTGGCCGACGTAGACGTCGCTCTACCGCGCGCGGCTGCCAGTCGGCGCAGTCAAATCGCAGCGGCGGGGAGGCTCGTTCCCAGCGGTAGTTGTGATTGGCTAAGGTGGAGGGCCGACGCGCCGCCTCGCCAAGTGCGATTGGCCGGAGCTGCCGTCAGTCAGCGGGAACACTTCCCTTCGCTCCCTCTGGCCCGCAGCTGGTGAAACATTTTCGAGAATTTCCAGCAGACGAAGCAGTGAGTGGTGCTTTCGATTGCTTGCTCCGGAGATCGCAAGACAAAGGAGACGGCAATCTTATTTAACGAGCACGAAAGCCCCTGCACTGCCCTCCGTTAGCTCATTGAAACACTTCCAAGGGACATAGCCATCGGGAGGTAAGAGCCCGGAGGGTGCCATTCATTTATTTCTGCCCACCGTTCATAATATTACTTATTGGCGGCCCAGGGGATGAAGAGTAAGAGGAGAACGACTCCCTGGTTTCACCTCTTCAGCCTCCGAGCCCCTACGGTCGGTCTCCGGCAGCTGTTTTCTTCCCTTTCCAGGTCAAGAGCGGTTTTTTTTTTCCAGGGTGGGGCACACCCTGGCAGCGCTGCGGGAAGCGGGCGAAGGGCTCCTTCCCCGATCGCGCTCGGCCTTGAACTTGACCGCGAGCCGGCCAGGTGAGGGGGCCGCCACGCGTGCTCTGTGCGACCCGCCGGCGAGGATGCTGCAGGGGTTGGTGCCGCGGGGACGCCACGGGATCAGCGAGGCGGGGAGGCCGGGGTGCAGCTGCTGGCGGGGCGGGGGCGCGAGGCTGTGTGTGCTGCCTGGCGTCCAGCAGGGCGAGCCATCCAGCCCCGGGCGGGCGCGGCCGGAGGCCAGGAGGCCGGTGCCGAGAAGGATGCCCTACTTGGTTTGATGGCAGGACAGGGTGGCAGTTTGGACGGGACGGCGCTGTCATCCCAGGCCCTGCGGCTGTGGTGATGCCTTTTTAGCAGACGCTTTTTGTAGATGCCGGAATTCGCAGGCGGTGACCAAAACGAGGCTAAAGATAAGAGGATGGGGGAGTGTGGGGGCTCTCTGGGGCTGCACCGGGCTTTGTGAGCTTCGGGCCGGAAATATGCAGCCCGGCCTGGTCTTTGCTCAGCGCTCTTCGTCCGCCAGGGCAGGGGGAAAGAGCGAGGCTTTCTGGCGGCTTCAGAGTGAGCCATTAAAGGAGAGCGGCCGGTGGCCAACGTCTGAGGGAACGAAAGCGGTGCGCGGTGCCGCCGTGGCCGGAAGAGGAGCGGCGCGCGCGCGTTGTGTGTCTGTCGCCGAGTGTGGTGCCCATTGTGTGGTGAAATGGCTCCGGGGCGCTGGGTTCTCTCGAAGCCTCTTTCTTGCAGCCTGAGCCGCTTTTCTGCGGATGCCGGCGGAACACGCCGCACCTCCCGTGCCTGGGGACTCTGAGGAGAGCCGGGCCGGGGCCCATGAGGTGGGATGTTGGGATAGAAGGGAAAGGAACGTTCTGAGGTTCCAGGTTGGGAACGTGGTCTGTGACTTGGGGACCCCATGAAGGCAGATGTTTGCAAAGGCAGCGAGGGCATTTTAGGTAGGAAGGGTTCCGCAGCTCTGTGTGCTGTCCGCCCTATTCACACATGTCAACATGGACGTCTCTCCCGCAGCTAGCCTGGTACCATGTCTTTCCTTTCCTCCTAGCGGGATACGGGTAAAGAAGGCATAGAGTCCAAATTTGCTGAGATACATTCTGGAGATTTCCATCCTATTTGAAGTGTTCAGAATGCTCTGGTTGCTTTTTAAGGAGTGTTGAGAAAGAAATAGTTAGCTTAAGAATATTAATTGGTTAGTTAATTACCTTGGGTAATTTTTCAATTGTGGAAGTTACCACTTTATAGTAATAGGCAGATAGGCATTGTTTTTTAAAGATTTTTTTTTCTAGAAGAATACAACCTAAGCAGGTTTTAATAGTGCCAATCCTTAGAACTCCTGGAAATTTTGGCATGGGCTTAAAATGACAGCAATGAACTGCCCTTTTGACCTGGCTTTCGGTGCTGAAGTGCGGTTAAACCTCAAATCCCTGTGCGCCCTCCTGCCAGACACACAGTGCCTCCTGTTTCCAAAAATAAATTTGGACAGCCTAGGGTGTTTAAACCATGGAGGAATTCTAAAGTGGGAGCAAGAAGAAAACATAAAATTGGCAAAGCAAATTTGTAGCTGTGTAGTTGCCTTTTTTCACTGCTTCCTTTTACTTTTAAATGAGGGATATAGTTCAAAAGTTTTTTGCAAACCAAATGCATTTTTTTTTTCCATCCTAATGCTTTTGACCTGGGGCTTCCCACTCCTGAGATGAGGTTTGTCGCCAGTACTCACTGAGCATCTCTATGCATGCCTTCATGGTCTTGCAGTTTCTTCCCATTTAAACCTCTCTGCTGAGGTTCCCCTTGTCAGTCAGTCGGGATGGTTAAACAAACTGTTTCCTAGCCACAGGAGGAGGAAGATGGGAAAGGCATGGTTACACAAATCAGTATGGAAATGGTGAAAAGAAAAGGTTTTTTTCCCCCTAATATTGATTGATTTATTTAGTTGGGAGGCAGAGCCGTAGACACACACACACACACACACACACACAGAGCGACACAGATACACAGGGGAGAGAGAGAGACAGACAGAAAGAGAGCCTCCATTTGCTGGTTCATTCTTCCCAAATGGCTGCAACAACTGGGACAGGGCCAGGCTGAAGGTAGGAGCCGGGAACTCCATCCAGGTCTTCCACATGGATGGCAGGGGACCAAGTACTTGGGCCATCCTCCTTTGCCTTCTCAGGTACACTAGCAGGGAGTTGGATTGGAAGTGGAGCAGCCAGGAACTGCCCTGGTGCCCACATGAGCTGTCAAAGCCACAGGTGGCTCAATCCACTGCACCACAATGCTGGCCCCAGAGAAAGTATTTTCATGAGATTATTTATTGACAGTACTAGAATGTGTACATACTTTTGTGAATGTATATACATGAGTATGCATATCCATGTGTCTTACAGATTCACCTGAATAAATTCTGACACATCAAAATTTTTAAATATTTATTTTATTTATTTGAGAGGCAGAGGAAGAGAGATCGAGACAGAGAGATATCTTCCATCTACTGGTTCACTCTCCAAATGCCTGGAACTCCATCTGAATCTTTCATGTGGGTGACAGGGACCCAAGTACTTGGACCATGTTGTTGCCTCCCAGGGTATGCATTAGCAGGAAGCTGGAATCCTAAGAGGAACCAGGACTTAAGCCCAAACATTGTAGATAGGAATGCTGGCCAAAGGGTATCTTAACTGCTGCATCAAACACTCACTCCTACATTTTAATTTTGATTGGGAAGTAAAAACAGATTTGGAGAACAGTTTTTAGGCTGATGTTTTTCCTTTTGTTGTATATTTCAGGTTGATTATGTAATCGATGTTGCAAGGATTTCAATCATTTTGTTTTTTAGCATAGTGTTTAATATTTTTACAATGGAATACAATGTGTGACATAAGGTACTTTTAGTTCATTTCACTCTCACTGTCACACTTTTGTGTATTCAAAGAGCTTTTCAGTGGAATGACTTCCATCAGCATGACTTGAGTTCCAAAGATTGAATATGATTGTTCAAGTGGCTTATAAAAATAAGCAAGCTTTGATTTCAGATTGATAGATTGACATGAATGCGCCCTGCTTACTCAGAAATATTCTTAGTTTTCAGAATGATAAACTCATCCCAATTCATAATTACCGAGCTGGCAAACGAAAGCAATTCCTTGCTTTGTCAGTTTGTTCTCTGCTAATGTGTGGTAGGTCCCCCTACCCCATGGGGGGTGGCAGAGGTTTTTGTTGTTCCCATCACAGATTCTATTCCTCTGCTAGGCAGTGCAGAGTCATTTCCATGGGCATCCGGAGAGCTGTGGAGCCTAGGCGATCCAATTCCAAGTTTGAAATCTCCAGAGGAAACTTCTTGATGTTCAGGTTTACTTCTGTATTCTTTAGCTTAGGAACACAGATTCTCTTTGAATTGTTTCCTCTTGAACACAGAATGGAGTCATATACTTCAGTCACACTGAACATAGAAAAGAACTTCTGGGGTTTTTGTTGTTTTTCATCTTCCTTCCCCAGTCTCCTTAGGAGCCCCATCCCTAATTCTGCCCCTTTTTCTTAAACCACTTCTTAAACAGAATCTCTTTGTGCCGAAGAGACCTAGTTTTGTACTATTGATAAACTACCTCTATAACTAACTCACACTTCATCTGTGCCAATAATGTTGCTCAGAACAGACGTTTTCCTGTATTCTGCTAACTTTCTGAGATGATTCTGGAGATAGTCCCAGGACTGAGGCCAAGTCGATGATTGATTTTAGTGAATGCAAGCCTAAAGAAACTTTCCAACTTGAGTTTTATCTCATTCTTAAAAAATGTTTCCAGTGGATAGCTGTTTTCCACGAAGAATGCATTCTATTTTATCATTTAAAAAATTTTAGAGAGGAGAGAGAGAAAAGGGGGGGAGGGCAGGTATCCTAGAAGAGATGTGGGAAAACTGTATTCAGTATTTGTAATTCTAGTACTCTTATTGAATGAATGTACACAACTGCAAAGTAACCCAAGCCTGACTATGGCATGTATGCTTTAAGGTGAACCCAGGGGAGTAGTAATTTGCTACAGTATCTGGTGCATTCTTCAAATATGAATGTATTTTCTAATAAACATTTAAAGTTTTATTTTTTCTTTATAATGCAAAACTGCTTTGCAATTATTTCCATCAATAATTAGTGCTTCTATGGCAGGTGTTACAGCACAGTGGGTTAGCTGCAATTTGGGACACCCAAGTACCAAATCTGAGTGAGGTACGATTCATGGCTGCTCCACTTATTGCTAGTGTGCCTGGTAGGCATCAGATGGCTCAAGTACTTAAGTCTCTGCCACCCACACAGGGGACCCTGATGGAGCTCCTGGCTCCTGGCTTTGGCCCAGCCCCAGCTGTTGCAGACATTTGGGGAATGAACCAGTGGATGGAAGATCTGTGTACGTGTGTGTTTCCTCAATTTCTGTGACTGTCTTTCAAATAAATAAATTAAAAAAAAATTTCTATTATCTGTGAAATTGTATTATAATTTTCCGTTTCTATATAAGAATTTACATATAATTACTGATTCTGGGTAAAAATAACCTTGAATGAGATGCAAAGGAACAAACACCTTTTTTTTTTTTTTTTGTATTTGAATGTGTAACTTCTCATTAACTAGAGATGCTCTCTCTCCTCCCCCACTCCAATTTTGTCATAAAAGGAAGTGAATTTCCTTTTTATACAGATGATAACCATCTTTATGGCCATTTTTATTCTAAATCCTATGAAGGCAGAGCTCATGCATTTTTCCTTGCTTAGGTATCTAAGGATGTTCTCTTTTGGAACCTCTTCCTTTCTCTTGAAAGCAGTAAGGCCTTTCTATGGGAACCTAGCCTGGTTTCCAAAGTTCACTTACAAGCAATTGTTTGAAATCTTTAATGCATTTTCTCACAAATGCCCTCAAACTGAGTTTTATATGTGTGTGTTTATACTTCTTTGATACCCTCTTTTTACCAAGTTCTTTTTTTTATTGTGAAATAATCCAAACCTACAATTGGGAATAATATAGCACCTGTATTCCCTCCACCAGCATTATCAAATCTTAATATTATACCATTATGGCAAGTTGATTCCTAACTCATAAATAATGGAACGAAGTACTATTGAGATTAATTTCTGCTTAGAACCTTGTTTGTATGGAAATTGCCAGAAAGACAGCTCTTCCTGCAAGAGTGTGGGAATTTTCCCTGATACATTCTGTAATGCCAAGAGAGTCCTTAGGGTTGAGCTTGAGAGAAGAGTCTACAAGTAGGGGTGCCAGGTAATAATTTTAAAGACACACAGTTTCAGGTGTGGGTGTGCTGCTAGAATTGGGGGAAAGGAAAGCTGCAGGTGCAGAGAAAATGCATGGTTCATCTGCTTAAACCTCAGTTGTTTGTCACAAATGCAGTGACACCGTTTCCTGAGACCTCTGCCCCCAACCCTCTCCATGAGAGTGTCTCCCACAAAGGCAGCATAGGAACTGGCCTATGGGTGTGTTTGCATGAACCAGTTTACATTAACCATGCAGATGGAAAATGAAGTATGTTGAGAAATCGTCAAACAAAACTCAGATCCTAGGCCGGCGCCGCGGCTCACTAGGCTAATCCTCCGCCTAGCGGCGCCGGCACACCGGGTTCTAGTCCCGGTCGGGGCGCCGGATTCTGTCCCGGTTGCCCCTCTTCCAGGCCAGCCCTCTGCTGTGGCCAGGGAGTGCAGTGGAGGATGGCCCAGGTGCTTGGGCCCTGCACCCCATGGGAGACCAGGAAAAGCACCTGGCTCCTGGCTCCTGCCATCGGATCAGCGCGGTGCGCCAGCCGCAGCGCGCAGGCCGCGGCGGCCATTGGAGGGTGAACCAAGGAAGACCTTTCTCTCTGTCTCTCTCTCACTGTCCACTCTGCCTGTCAAAAAAAAAAAAAAAAAAAAACTCAGATCCTAAATTGTGTCTTTACGAAAACTTGGCTATTCTGTGTACAAGCTATTGTAAATATTCTGTGAACCAGTTACTTTTCCTTTTATTTTTAGCACTTTGGTGCTATCGTTAATATTTGCCCCTACCTTTTTTCAGAGCAGTGGAATTAATGAGAGGAGGAATATTTATTTCTACCCGTGTTGTATATTCTTGCTAGGCAAAGTGTGGCCTGAAGATCAGCAGCTCCTATTACCAGCATCCCAAGATCCACTTCATATCCAGTGAATCAGAATTTGCATTTTAAAAAGCACCTCCAATGATGGCATTTTAAAAAGCACCTGCAGCTTTCCTTTCCTCCAATGATGGCAGGTTAAGCTGGAGAGACAGGTTCAATCAAAAGTGCTCCTTGTCAGATTTTTGTTTTTACTGTGAATGGATAAGGCAAATGGAGCCATTTTTCATCCATTGTTATGAAAATCGGGCTGTTGGGTGCCTACGAAGTGCATAACATAAGTATAGTAAGTATTTCCTGTCAGGCCCAGATGGCCCTTGTTTTTGGTGCTGATATTCAGTTAGGCTCACAATTGCTGACCAAGCCCTCCTTCTCCCCAGGTACATCATTCTCTTGAAGACGGTCCACTATTGTCTGCCAACCTCCGCCTCTGTACTGAGTCCCCTGCAGCTGAGTGATGTCAACAGCTGCCTTAATCACTTTGGTTAGAAGTGGCGGGAACCAGGTGAGAAGGAGAGCGCTGCTGACCTCCCGCCTGCTGCAGGACGAGCGCCGCCTGCCGGCCACCTGCCACAGCTCCACCTCAGAGCCCAGGTGTTCTCGATTCGACCCCGACGGCAGTGGGCGTCCGGCCACCTGGGACAGTTTCGGGATCTGGGACAACCGCATTGACGAGCCAATTCTACTGCCCCCCAGCATTAAGTATGGCAAGCCGATCCCCAAAATCAGCCTGGAAAACGTGGGCTGCGCCTCGCACATTGGCAAACGGAAAGAGAATGAAGATCGATTCGACTTCGCCCAGCTGACAGATGAGGTCCTGTACTTCGCTGTGTATGATGGGCACGGCGGACCCGCAGCCGCTAATTTCTGCCACACCCGCATGGAGAAATGTATTCTGTACGTACCATGACTCTCATGAGACTCATTACTGATGATCATTGCTGCCTCAGAACGTGTGTCTTGGGTGGGTGGTGCGGCCAGTGGTTTATGACCCACTGTGGCTGGCTGCTCTGCTGCTGACCCAGCTTCCTGCTAATGTACCTGGGAAGGCAGTGGATGATAACTCAAAATCTTGGGCTCCTGCCACACACATGGGAGACCCAGATGGAATTCTGGGTTCCTGGCTTTGGCCTGGCACAACCCTGCCTGTTACAGACATTTGGGGAGAAGGGAGCGAACCAGCAGAAGCTCTCTGTTTCTGTCAGCCTTTTAAGTAGATGAAAATAAACACACACACTCAAAAATCTTTAAAATACATGTCTTAATTCCCTGATGAAAGTAGATTCTGATGACCAGAATTTACAATATTTGACCCGTGATCATTTTGAGTGAATGGACATAAAGTCCAGGAGTCTCCACAATGTTCATGGAAAATGTGTATTATGAAAAAAACTGTGCATGCATTTCAAAAATTTTTTGTACTGAAATAAACTTATCTTTTACTTCCATTTATGCATGAACGTGTTGAAATGCCTTATACACCAGCTAACCTGTGAGAAGCATTTACTCCTATCAATGCAGAGCCCATAGACTAGCTCTGAATACTGGACTTGCTGAAAAGTAACTTTGGATGGTTGGCATTAGTCGGGGGTGAGAGTGCATTTAATGCTGGTGTTTGGGGGGACTTTCACTAGTTTATGTACCTCTAGCTAGTATTGTTGAGGTTCACACTCTTGCTAGAATTAAAACAAGGGGAAAACATGTGACGGAATTTTGACTATGTGTAATTCCTTGCCTTCCTGTGTACTGCAAGGTTGATGCATACTACTGTTTATCAGTTGATTTGTGCCTATTTTACCTCATTCCACAAAGAACTCTGAGGTTTAAGTTTCATATGAAGGAGTTCAGTGTCTCCAGCATTGTGGTCTTTATAAAGATTCATTCTTTAAGGATAGAGATCTGGACTTTAATTTTTGTGCTCTTAAAAGCTCATCACAGTGCCTGTGATTTGGTACCATAAAAGCTCAATAAACATCCCTAACTAGTAGCTCTTATGCATCTGAAAGGCAACTCTTTTGGGGTCCATTGAGTGGAGGGACTTTGCTAGACAGAGGGACTGTGACAAGAGAAACCTATGGTAAATGACTGGGGTTCTCTTTTCCTCCCCACAAAGGGATTTGCTTCCTAAGGAGAAGAACTTGGAAACTGTGTTGACCTTGGCTTTTCTAGAAATAGATAAAGCCTTTGCGAGTCATGCCCACCTGTCTGCTGATGGTATGTAAAACAATCACATTTTTCAGAGTCTTGGAGTCAAGGAGGGTACAAAAGAATTCATTGAAGTCCTTTAGGGGTGGGCATTTTAATGTATGCTTACTTGTGAGGAAGTTTATGTAGAAATGTTCTTACATAGTCACTGGGAATGCTGTTTGGAATCCAAACTAATGTCAGTTTTCATGTTTGGTTACTTACTGTATGCAAAAGAACTCATACTACCAGAGGATTTGGGGCTGTTTTGTTTTGTTTTTGAGGCATCTGCTGAAATACTCTGCAGGGAAAACACATTTATCTAGGACACTAAATGTCCAGACAAGAAGAAAAGTGCTAAAAGATCCCATGTAAGAAGGAACAATGGCTAATATGCACTAGTTTGTATAATTACAAGGAAGCTATTTTGCCCTCTCTTTTTTTGAAATTTATTTTATTTATTTGAAAGAGTTACAGAGAGAGGGTCTTCCATGCGCTGATTCACTCCTCAAATGGCTGCAATGGCCCTAGCGGAGATGATCAGGAGCCAGGAGCTTAAAAAAAAAAATGCACTACAGAAATGTCATATTCACAGTTTTCAGTTGGACTGCACAGGAATAGAAATTTTCCCCAGTTCACAGACAAGAAATTGAAGTTCAAAGAGAGTCAAAGATCAGTTCAGAGCTGGGGCTGGGATTTTCCTGACACCCAAAGCGATCTTTCACATTGATGTTTGATAATGAGGAGGAAGAGAAGGTGATTGTAGGATGGCTCTATTTGCCATTTTTTAAAGTAATTTTTAAAAAGTCTATCTTTTAAATCTGTTTTTCCATGAATTTTTTTTTAGAAGCAGACATAGAGCATGCTAAAAAGTGAACTTTCATCCACTAGGCCACTCTCCAAATGCCCACAACAGCTAGGAACCCACTTTAGGTTTCCCATATGGATGATAAGAACAACAATTACTTGAGCCATGCTGTTGCCTCCCAGGGTCTGCAGTAGCAGGAAGCTGCAGTCAGGAGCAGAGCTGGGAATCAAACCCAAATACTCTGATCTGGGAAGGGCAAAACGTCTGCCTCTACTTACCATCTTGAGAGGTTTTCCTGCTCTCTCTCTTTTTTTTTTTTTTTTTAAGAGAACCTTATCTTATCATCACAGTCCTCAGAAAACATTACATTCCACCCTCCCGTTTTGTTCAGGGATTTATTTAGTTTGTAGGTGAGTTAGGCCCATTTTTCTTTTCTTCCATTCCTTTGGACTTTTTTCCCCTCTCATCTGGTCCCTCACCTTTAAGAAGATAGGAGTTGAAAAAGGGGGGATTTCACGCATAAGATTTAGCTTTTGTTTTTGAGTAAAACACAGGAAGGAGAAGAGGAAACAAAATGCCTTCTGATAGTTTCATTTTTGTAACTCTCCGAGTTCTGGTATGCTCTTATCTCAGCTGTAACCAGTTTGTCTGTGAATGGGACTGTAGCTCACACCTGTGAGCTGTAGTGCAGGTGCTGAGCCCCAGCTGTTCTGCAAGCAGCTGCAGCTTAGTGCAAAGGTTTTCAGAAGAGAATGTTCAAGAATGTCAGGATGTGGCCAACAATCTAAGACATTAACCCTTCATGGGTGCAGCCAGGAGATAATTAAAACAATCACTGGTCGATTTGGTGTAGGGTATGAGAGGGAGTTTTGAACTAGAGAATTTATTTAACTTGCATATCTTAAACTTTCTAAATTTGGCTTTGTCACATAAAGCAGTTTACACACAAGTTACAGTTCTTTACACACAAGCAGTTGTGTAAAGAAATCAATCATAAAATAATTTCTAAACATGAAATTAAAACATTATTTATTCCCTCTGTCATATGCTTTGAGGTAATAATCCCAGAACTTTTATAAGATATTTTAATTTTCATTTAATGACCATTTGTGTGAAAGCATAGTGGAGCAGGATAGAATGATGTCTAGTATGCTACTAAAAATCTCGTAACAGTGTCATTAGATACTATTTTATATTTGTTGTTATAAGTCTATTAGTATGTGTTTTTTAAGTTAATGTTTTGAGAATATTTAAAAATTTATTCTTATTAAGTTACCAAAACTTTCAAAGATGACAAAAATTGCCTTTAGCTATTTGGGGCTTATTTTATGAAATATGTTAAAAGTCACTAAAGATAGAATGTTGTAATGTTGAACTCTTCAATTTATGGATTTCCAAAATTGTGTCATTTCAGAGTTACTTAAACTTTTTAAAAAGTAAATTTTTTAGTAAGAACTGAAGCAGTATCAGTATTATAAGAGTGGATAATATTCCTTTTGGTAGATCTGTAGTAGACTCAGCGCTAGCTAAATGCAGCTGCGTGGTTAGTAGCCCACTCCACTCTCTCTTACCTTCTCTCTTCTTTTGGCATCAGCCCACTTTCTGTCCCCTTAAACCCTTCCTGTGAGATCAGGATGGCTTGTTTCTTTTTGAATCTCCAGTGGTTGGCACCCTGCCTGGCATCTGGAAGGTATTCACTATTTGGACTGAACTCATCTCTACTACCTACTCTTTCTCACCACTTATTATAATTTATGCCTTGATTATTAAATCAAATGTAGCTCATTTAACCCAATTATTAATAAAATGGATGTATTTTAATGAGTTGTCACTCCTAAGCAAATTTGAGTTCCGAGTAGCAGACACCTGAAAATGGATGATCAAACCATAGGCAAGAATCACTGATGGTAAAATTTTAGGTGTAGTGGTTAGAATGCCCCCACAATTATTTCATGCTAACTTTCCTAAGAGAAATAAAGTGACAATAAAACATCTCTTTTAGACTTCAGTGCCACAGCTGTCACCTATACCTAAACTTCTTCAGGCTGTCTCATTAGCGGTTCAAATGTTTACTATTTCAGTTTTAGCTGGGGATAAAGAGAATAAAACCAGAATGCCACTTATCAAGAAACAGAAGTTTTCTGTACCCTTAAGTTGCTAGCTGTTTTTATGGATGTGTTGTCAATGCATTTTGAATTTGCCCTTTTTTTTTCAGATAGGTAATGTTATCACCTTCTTTGACTTGTTCATATTCAGTTTGTACCAAAAATGTGTATTTTTACAATGAATGAAACCCATCAGTGGATTCAAGGATACCCCATCAGTCTGTTGTTTACAGATAGTCACTTAAAAACAGATCAGATGGTAGAAGACTTAGATTATAATCCTATATATCCTGTAAACTCTTCAAAGTGTTTCTAGATTGCTTAAGCTTTGAAAGCAGCAAAGCTGCCCAGGGGACAAATGGATCAAAAAGAGAAGACTTGCTGCTCTGACGTTCAGAGTGGGAGACATTGATGGACAGCATTGTGAGTCTCATGGGAAACTTTCACACTCTTTATATTATGGGACTTTGTGGAAAAACTAAAGTACAAAATATTAGGGGTCTAAATGCAGCCTCTCTGAGTGCCCCTTTTATGCTGGGAGCAGCCACTGGAAAAGCCCCAGGGACAGCGTGGAAGAGGTGGTCTTATTGTGCTGCTACTGCTTCAGCTCATTACTTTGCTGTCAGTGTTGATGAGTCACCCTGACTAGAACACTCATTTTGAATAAGTATTGAAACTGTATTGGTTGATGTATATTGTTTACATAATTGAATAATTACTGGGGTTGTTATACTTTGAACAATTCAGCTTTTACTGTTTATGTTGGCATTTAAAATCTTGATCATATTTCTTTTATTGTGTCGACCTGCAACACTGGGGAAAAGAGAGAGAGCTGCAGAAAAATACCCGTTGTGTGAATTACATAAAATGATAAAGCTACTTTAGAGTGTAAGAGAAGTAAACTTAAAGTAATCATTCTACTTCAAAAATGTCTAGATACTAAACCCCCACATGAAGCACCGTTAACGGATGTGTTACTCCTTGTCTCTACTCTAGAGGTGCTTTATTTCTTGTTGTATATTTAAGTTCTAATAATTTGGTGGTATATTGTAGTTCATACCCTCTCCTGTGTGCTGCTTATCGGACACAAATTACTCAGCACTAGAACCCTGAATTGACCCTTTTGATATTGCTACAATTCTGATACCCAGCAAACTTACAGTACATTTTCTGCAACTCAGTTAAAGTACTGATTTGCTGTGTTCAAGTGTACACCAGTGTGTGGGAGTGTATACACATATGTATGTTTCACCATTGATGATTTTTGCTACATAGGCATTTGCATATCATTTTTTTTTTTCCTACCTTGGCTTTCACAAAAACTAGGCAAGAAGTGTTATTCTGTGTTGAGAAAACAGATTCAACTACAAAATACCATCAACTTGAGCAAACTGAGTTCTGAAATCATTGATTTGGCATCTCCTGGAATATTATGTACATTTGCTAGTGACATTTTCACCGATAAAAACCCTTCCCCTTATTTTGCAGCTCTTTCTCTGCTCTCCCCTGTGTTGCAGGTTTGTAATGTTTGAGCACAATTCCTGGGTGAATTTCCTATTTGCCTCTGTGCGTGTTATTTGTGGCAGAGAACTGTGCCTGGTCAGCAGCTCTAGACCTGGAGCCCGTGGACACTTATGCTGGGCTTCAGTGGAAAGAGAGATCTGCTTAATTTTGTCTCAGATGAAGGAGTCCAGCGGTTCCTAGCCTGGACTACTGGAAGGCTCCCACATCCTCTTTGTCCCATTAGTTGAGCTGACTTGCAGTAGAAATTGTCCAGTGAGTGTTAAGAACTTATTGAAAGATGTCTTAGTTTTATAGTTTTGTTATTAGGGCAAAAAGTGAGAAATTTTACTTCCATGTTAAATGTTAAATGAAAATAAATGCTGATTTAATATTTATATTCTTAGATGCTTAGCAAACCAGAATCAATAGTTTTGAAACCTTTCCCATAAATCCTGGGATTTTGGAACTGTGAAATTGGGTTGGTAAGAACTCAAACTCTTCTTAAATTTTTATATGGCAGAGCCATGAACTACAAGCCTGAACAACTAAACTTTCACTGTGAAATTTTAACTCTTTTTTTTTTTTTGTCGTGTGGCCAATTAAAATCTTTTGAAAAAGCTGTTGCCAACAGTCTTAAGGAAAGGGGAAGGATATTAAATTCCCTTGGCAAGTAGTATTTGAATAAATGCCTGCATTCTCTTGAGTGGCTCTTTAAATCATTTGAAAATATTACAGTAGGTTAAACTGCAAAGATTCCTTTTGTTGTAAAGATTTTGTTGTTGTTGTTGTAAAGTCATTCATTTGAGTAATCTCAAGACTTAGCAATTGTAATACAAACATCACTGATATTTAGGCCAAAACATTTATGTGATACAGTCACAAATGCATAAGCTATTTTAGCATTGTAGAGATTACTACTTTGGTACAACTGTTCCAAAATCAAGAGATAAATGGGAGGATAGTGCAATATAAATGCTAATTCTCAGTAAAGTAAATTCAGCATGTCTATAAAAAGATTAAATAGTTTATTCATGCTTCTTCATTTTACTTTTCTGATTAAAGCAGGCATTTTAATATACTGATTGGAAAATCTTTTTATGTGTAAATTATATTGCAAAATGCATTATTATTAAGTTTTTGAAATTGTCTTTAAAAAAAAGTTGGAAACATTTTCAATCAATCAAATCAATAGCACTTCATTTTCCCTAAATCTACCTTTAAAGTCAAAATCATCATTGGATAATCACTTGAATATTTTATTTAGATACTTTTAAAGAACTGACAATGTTACTGACACAATACCTGCTTTAAATAAGTTATCCTTTATAATTTCTTCCACTTTGCTTTATTTTTTAGCCTATAACTTCACTGTAGTTTTACTTTTGGCAAGGCTCAATGCACCTTAAAGTTTCTAACATGGGGTAAAGAACTTAGATGATACTGTTAGAGTAAGTTAAAGGCAAGTGCAAAAGGGCAATTTGACTTTGATGGAAAACAGTGAGCCCAGTAACCTTGAATTTTGTTTGTTGTCAGAGAAAACTAATATTCTCAGACTACTTTGGGCCCAGGCAGCACCACAGGAGTAGCACTGGCAATGCTGTCCTGCACTTGGAGACAGACTCTTTGTATTAGAGTCTTCTGGAGCCAGGGATGATGAGAAACCAGAATGAATTTCATTCCCCACTCCATAAATTTTCTGCCAATGTAATGATGGCTATAACTTTGGTTCTTGTCTAGGGAAGACAAAGATAAACAGAAAACAATGTGAGCTTTTTGACTATTTTAGGATTTTTTTTGGTGAACGTTTGAATAAAAAAAATTGTTAAAGGAAAGAATATAAAATCTAGCATATGAAGAGCAAATGGTATGCCTGTGGCATGTCTCACTTAGCTTTTTAACTGCTAATACTTTCACAGGATAGGAATCAGAAATGGAAGAGAAAACCTTCCAAATCCATAGATCATAGAAAAGTCAGCTTGCCTGGATGGGCTCAGTAGACCACATCCATCCTCCCATTATTATCCAGTCTTGTTAAGTTGAATTATTTTACAAATAGAAATGTCATTGTAACTGTAAGTTCAAGCCAGCTCCACTTTCTGTGAATAGAAGCCATTTAGGGGCAGTGATGCATTGCTGACTAAATTAGGTTAGCAGCCTTTTCTGTTTGCATGGAGCCTTGTTTCTGAAATAGATAATTGTTTCTTTGCATGCTGGTAGTCACCTAGTTCATTTGCATTTTATTTGCATAGCTGTAGTTATATTAGAATGATACATTCCAGTACTAGTTGATCATGCTTGCCTTTTGTTTTGCAATAAAAATTCCATATCCAGTCCTTCGACTGTCACTAACTTTTTTTTTTCATACCATTTGTAGCAAGCATTCTGACCTCTGGGACTACTGCAACAGTAGCCCTACTGCGAGATGGTATTGAACTGGTGGTAGCCAGTGTTGGGGACAGCCGAGCTATTTTGTGTAGAAAAGGAAAACCCATGAAGCTGACCATTGATCATACTCCAGAAAGAAAAGATGAAAAAGAAAGGTACCACTACCCCTACTTGGTCATTCCATGGGGATGATGTTTGTAGTTCAAGAAGTGAAGTTTTGCATCTCTAAACTGATGTCGTTTAAGTGTCACAGTGACATGGTTTTCTGTGGATCACATCTCCAGTCTTGTAACTTTCCCTTCTTCAGGATCAAGAAATGTGGTGGTTTTGTAGCTTGGAACAGCTTGGGACAGCCTCACGTAAACGGCCGACTGGCCATGACGAGGAGCATTGGAGATTTAGATCTCAAAGCCAGCGGAGTGATAGCCGAGCCAGAAACAAAGAGGATCAAGGTAAGGAAGGAGTGAGGAGTGCTTGATGCACACACAAAGGACAGATGCAGGATTGTCTTCAGCTGCAGGCTCCCTTGCATGCTTCATGATCTTTCATGGGGAGTAATTTAGGGGAGGAAGGCTTTTCAGATAAAATACGACTTTCCTGGCCTAATGGATGAGAAGTCTTGGGTTTTTGTTTCTCCTGCTGAGGAATTCTCCTGGTGAAATGGTGCTGCTGCCCTTCCCCACCTGCACCTGAGCATGCGGTGTCCTCTCAGCTCGGAAACTGACCTTGACTTCCCTTTCCACCAACCTAAAGCATGGCCCTCCTGAGTTTCTGTGGCATTTTTACCTGCTACAAGTCAGTGCCTGGGTACTCTAAACTGCCCCCAACACATTCCAGTCCAACAGCTAACACATCCTTCTCTGAACCACCTAAGGAAGCCAGCTCTAGGACCTGGCATAGCATAGTGTAGGCTTCCAATAATGCCAGCCACTGTTTGCTTATTAATTGCACCAGGAGTTTCTTTTATTTTTTAAAACTTATTTTTATTTGAAAGGCAGAGTTGGGGGCTGGCATTGTGGTATAGTGGGTAAAGCCTGACTGGCTCAGCACTGGACATTGTGGCCATCTGGGGAATGAACCGGTGGATGAAAGATCTCCCTCTCTCCCTCTATAACTCTTTCAAAATTAATAAATCAGGGCCAGCGCCACAGCTCACTAGGCTAATTCTCTGCCTGCGGCGCCAAATTCTGTCCCGGTTGCTCCTCTTCCAGTCCAGCTCTCTGCTGTGGCCCGGGAGGGCAGTGGAGGATGGCCCAAGTCCTTGGGCCCTGCACCCGCATGGGAGACCAGGAGGAAGCACCTGGCTCCTGACTTCGGATCGGCGTAGCACACCAGTGGTGGCAGCCATTTAGGGGGTGAATCAACAGAAAAGGAAGACCTTTCTCTCTGTTTCTCTCTCTCTCACTAACTCTGCCTGTAAAAAAAATTAAAAAAACAAAATAAATCATTTTTTTAAAAAAGGAAGAAATAAAGAAATGCAGAATCAGAGAGGGAGAGACAGAGAGAGATCTTCCATCTACTGGTTCACTCCACAAATGACCACAACAGCTAGATCAGAGCCGGTCAGAAGCCAGGAGTCAGGAGCTTCATCTGAGTCTCCCACATGGGTACAGGAGCCAAGCACTTGGGCCATCATCCACTGCTTTCCCAGGTGCATAAGCAGGGAGCTGGATTGGAAGTGGAGCAGCTGGGACTCCAACCAGTGCCCATATGGGATGCTGGCACTGCAGGTGGTGGCTTTACCTGCTATGCCACAGCGCCAGCCCCATGAGAGGTTTCATGTCCCATAGATATTACACTTCTGTTCACTTTATTTTACAAATGCCTGTGTGTGGTTTACTGTGTGCCAGGCTCTGTTCAAAACAGGTACCGTTGTCCCCACTTGGCAAATCTAAAAACATGTAGAGATCAACTCACCTCTGCTTACCAGGCATTAACAGAGGCTGGAGCCTGGCTTAGGAGGCAGCACCCTTTAACCACCTCTCAGCATTCGGCTTTCTGGCTTCGTCCTTTGTGGCACTACTAAGTAAATGTCAGGTTTATCCTTGGTGCTTGATATTAAATGTTGCTACTTTTACCCTACATGCAAACTACATTTTCCTACAGAAGTTTGCCTACAGCAGAACAGATTAAACTCTTAGAATTACCCAGATTACTCTAAGGTAGAGCCTGGTTTCTAATCCTGTGCATTTGGTTCTGATTGCAGCTGCACCATGCTGATGACAGCTTCCTGGTCCTCACCACAGACGGAATCAACTTCATGGTGAATAGTCAAGAGATCTGTGACTTTGTCAATCAGTGCCATGATCCCAACGAAGCTGCCCATGCAGTGACTGAACAGGTGATGCAGCAGAGCTTCTGCTAGGAAAGTCTCAAGCAAAGGGGGGTGGGGGATGCGCAGAAGGACAACCCCAGGTGTGTGGTCCCAGTGCAGACTAGAGTGGCCACCGCACGTTTGAGGTTGCTTTGTTTCAGCTTGAGTGTCAAATGGTGAATATTTTGATTCCATGATATCTTAAATTAGCTCATGTTTTACAATTCCTACAAGTTGCTAAGTAAAATTAATGTCAAGAAAACATGCTGGACACTATTCTACTCATATAAATTAATTCATGTAATGACACAAATCTGAAGAGACTGAAGCTATTATTGTCCCTTTTCACAGATGTGGAAAACTGAGCTACAGAGGCTTTGAATGCAGTCAGGTTCCCAAGTCCAACTACTTAACTGTTAAACTAGACTGCTCCCAGTAAATATCCATTTTAAGGAAAATTATAGCACAGTCAGCTTCTGGTTATTAAAAACAAGAGTGTTCAAGTGGATGTGTGGTGTGGCACTTGAGATGCTGAGTAAGACACCTGTGTCCATATCACCGTGCCTGGGTTGGATCCCTAGCTCTGGCTGCTGACTCCAGCTCCCTGCCAATGCAGACCCCAAAGGTGGCAGGTGATGCCTCAAGGAACTGCATCCCTACCACCCACATGGGAGACCTGGGATGAGTTCCCAGCTCCCAGCTTCAGCCTTAGCCCAGTCCTGGCCATTGCAGGTATTTGGGGAGTGAACTAGCAGATGGGCGCTCTTCTCTCCCCATCTCTCTGACTCTGCCTCTCAAAAAAAAATAATTAAAAATTGATGGGTGTGTGAAAAAGACAAGGAAAAATACAATGTGTGGATGGGTTGTGTGTCAGAGCTAAAATTTGAAAATGGAAATTTGAAAATAGAAAATACTCTGTTTTGATTAGCTGTTCTAAGTTATAGACATTATGGATCATTAGAGGCATGCTTTAATCCAACACATTTCCCCGTTTTTACATATTTAATTAAGGAGCAAAATCCAGCCCAAACTTTTAAGTGCCAGTATTTGTAATGAAAACATAGGACCTTATTTATTTATTTATTTATTATATGGAGTAAGAGGCTCCTGGCTCCTGGCTTCGGATCAGTGCAGCTCCGGCCGATGCGGCCATCTGGGGAGTGAACCAGTGGAGGGAAGACCTCTCTGTCTCTCTCTGTGCCTCTCTGTAACTCGGCTCTTCAAATAAATAATCTTTAAAAAAAAAAAAAAAAAAGGATGATTTGCTTGAAAATAAATGGGCAAGCACAATTTTTTTTTTTTTAAGATTTATTTATTTATTTGAAAGGCAAAGTTACAGAGACTTAGAGGCAGAGAGAGAGAGAGAGAGAGAGAGTGTGTGAGAGAGTGTCTTCCATCCTCTGGTTCATTCCCCAGATGGCCGCAACTGCCGAAGCTGCGCTGATCTGAAGCCAGGAACTAGAAGCTTCTTCCGGGTCTCCTATGGAGGTGCAGAGGCCCAAGCACTTGTGTCATCTCCTGCTGCTTTCCCAGGCCATAGCAGAGAGCTGGATTGGACATTGGGCAGCCAGGAATTTAACTGACACCATATGGGATGCCAGCACTGCAGGCAGCAGCTTTCCTGCTATGCCATAGTGCCGGCCCCCATGCACAATTCTTTTTTTTTTTTTTTTTGACAGGCAGAGTGGACAGAGAGAGAGAGACAGAGAGAAAGGTCTTCCTTTGCTGTTGGTTCACCCTCCAATGGCCGCCGCGGCCGGCACACCACGCTGATCCGATGGCAGGAGCCAGGTGCTTCTGGTCTCCCATGGGGTGCAGGGCCCAAGCACTTGGGCCATCCTCCACTGCATTCCCTGGCCACAGCAGAGAGCTGGCCTGGAAGATGGGCAACCAGAACAGAATCCGGCGCCCCGACTGGGAATAGAATTCAGTGTGCCGGCGCCGCAAGGCGAAGGATTAGCCTAGTGAGCCGTGGTGCCTGCCACACAATTCTTTTTTTTTTTTTTTTTAAACTTTTATTTAATGAATATAAATTTCCAAAGTACGACTTATGGATTACAATGGCTTCCCCCCCATACCGTCCTTCCCACCCACAACTCTCCCCTTTCCCACTCCCTCTCCCCTTCCATTCACATCAAGATTCATTTTCGATTATCTTAATATACAGAAGATCAGCTTAGTATACATTAAGTATGGATTTCAACAGTTTGCTCCCACACAGAAACATAAAGTGAAAAATAATAGATGATTTTTTTAAAATGATGATGAAATCAGAGCAGACCTATTGTCATGTTTAATCCCAGTGAGAGTCAAGTGGGAATTGAATAATTTCTTCTGTTTTCTTTTTACAGAAGATCAATTTAGTATGCATTAAGTAAAGGATTTCAACAGTTTGCACCCCCATAGAAACACAAAGTGAAATATATTGTTGAGTACTCGTTATAGCATTAAATCTCAATGTACAGCACATTAAAGGATAGAGATCCTACATGAGGAGTAAGTGCACAGTGACTCCTGTTGTTGACTTTACCAATTGACACTCCTGTCTATGGCATCAGTAATCTCCCTATGCTCCAGTCATGAGTTTCCAAGGCTATGGAAGCCCTCTGAGTTCTCCGACTCTTATCTTGTTTAGACAAGGTCATAGTCAAAGTGGAGGTTCTCTCCTCCCTTCAGAGAAAGGTACCTCCTTCTTTGAAGACCTGTTCTTTCCACTGGGATCTCACTCGCAGAGATCTTTTGCCAGAGTGTCTTGGCTTTCCATGCCTGAAATACTCTCATGAGCTTTTCAGCCAGCTCCGAATGCCTTTAGGGCTGATTCTGAGGCCAGAGTGCTATTTAGGACATCTGCCATTCTATGAGTCTGCTGAGTATCTCACTTCCCATGTTGGATCACTCTCCCCTTTATTTACTCCATCGGTTAGCGTTAGCAGGTACTAGACTTGTCTATGTGCTCCCTTTGACTCCCAGTCCCTCCACCATGACCAACTATGAACTGAAATTGATCACCTGGAACAGTGAGATGGCATTGGTACATGCCACCTTGATGGGATTGAATTGGAATCCCCTGGTATGCTTCCAACTCCACCACTTGGGGCAAGTCAGCCTGAGCATGTCCCAAATTATACATCTCTTCCCTCTCCCATTCCCACTCCCATGTTCAACAGGGATCACATTTCAGTTAATTTTCAACACTTAAGAATAACTGTGCATCAATTACAGAACTAAACCAGTCATATTAAGTAGAACAGACAATTCTAATGCATGAAGTATTTACTTGGATGCTGTGATGTCTACCTTACCCAGTACTAAGTGGAGTCCTCATAAAATGGAAGTAATGGGCCTGATTCTGTGGATGAACACTTTTTGTCTAATTTCAACTGTCCATCTTGTAGGTACTTTTATGTGTGTTTTTTAAAAAGTTTGTTTATTTATTTGAGAGGCAGAGTTACAGAGAGAGACAGAGACAAAAAGGTCTTCTATCTGCTGGTTCACTCTGCAAATAGCTGCAACAGCTGGAGCTGGGCCAACCTGAAGCCAGGGACCAGGAGCTTCTTCCAGGTCTCCTATGTGGGTGCAGGGGCCCAAGCACTTTGGCCATCTTCTACTGCTTTCCCAGGCCTTAAGCAGGGAGCTGGATCGAAAATGGAGTAGCCAGGACACAAGCCAGTGCCTATAATGGGATGTTGGCACTGCAGGCAATGACAATTTCAATGACTGCAGCAAAGTCTTATCTTACTTGTATACCATAATTGGCTCAACAGTTGCCCTGATCAACAAATTTAGTTTCTGACCATTTCTTCATACTGCAGGGGGAGCACTGTAATAAATATGTTTGTATCTATTTGCCCTCCAAATTGTCCTTCAAAAAGTTCATGGAAAGGGATTGGTGTTTGACTTAGCAGTATATAATTTTTTTTGTAACACATTTGTTCATGAAATTTTGGAAGATCTCTCATGATAGCGATTCACGCTTAAACTAACATGGCTTGATCTTGTTTTTCCAAATTCTTATCATAAGCTTTGTTTTTTGCCTCTTCAAAAGCAGAGAAGTCAAATTTTGTTATTTATGTCTCCATCTTTTTTTCTTGGTTATTAAAGTTAACCATTTCCATACGTTTGTTAGCCAGTTATATTTCTTGTCTGTGCAAACCTTTTTCCTTCTGCCTATTGCCTTCTCAGCGTGTTTGTGATTGTGTAAGAACTTCCTATATATTAAGTATTACAGTGCTTTGATATTGTAAATGTTTTCTTTTAATCTGTAAAACCTTTTCTTCATTGAAGCTTTTTACAACAGATATTTTTATCAACCCCTTCCTTCAAAGTTTCTTCAGGCTATTAAGTCTTTTGAAACACATTAGATGTTAAATGACATCCTAAGCACTACTTACAATGCTGACTGTATCATCTGCTATTTGAAATGGTTTGTAAAATTGATTTATAATTCTCCTTTAGAGCATTTAGTTTATGCTCACTTTTCTATTTTGAACCATGAATAATAAACATTCCTAGTCCACTGGAGTCACTCTGCCAAGAATGTCGATAACAGGGATGTTTGGGGCCACCTGTTATTCCATGTGCAATTTAATAAACCCTGTGGGCACTGATGCAGCAGCAAAGACTCACCAGGTGCTGGGACATAGTTGGGCTATGAGTGCATGAAAGCCAGTGTGGCTCTTCAGAGGACCAATGCTTTCTCTGCAGAGACTCTGATTTCCGGTGTTTTTCTCTCCTTCCTGCCAAACCTCGTAGGCGATCCAGTATGGCACTGAGGATAACAGTACGGCCGTCGTAGTGCCTTTTGGCGCCTGGGGAAAATATAAGAACTCTGAAATCAACTTCTCCTTCAGCAGAAGCTTTGCCTCCAGCGGGCGATGGGCCTGATTGCTGGCCAGGACTCCACGATTCTGTGCAATACTGTTTAACTAAGAATGTCAAGAAACTGATCAAATCACAAATGCTGTCTGTACCAGTGACCCACCAGATCAGTATACAAGTCAGTGTAAACCTAGTAACTATTTGCATAGTGATTTTTTATGAATAATCATATTTATGATCAAATGTACATGCCTAGTATGCAAATAACTATAACCAAGCTAGTGTGAGCTTCTAAGCAAGCAAATGAAAAGTGGTTTCAGTACTTTCAGTGAGTGTTCAATTTCTAATCATTAAGACTCTTAGGCAGCTATTTGTTTCTATCGATTATTTTTGTTCTTAATTCATTTGAAAGGTTCTTCAAGTTCAACACTAGTCAGTTTGAATTTTGACGACTATTCCGTGTACTGGCTGCAAGTGTTTATTTTTGATAACTGTGCCAAGGAGTAAATGTGAAAACTGAGTTATCTATTATCATATTTTGTATACTAGGCCACTTACAATAACAGTAATTGTGCAGCAGAAATCGATTCAGATACTATATTGCCAAATCATGCATATTTATAAACAGTGCATTTGTGTATTTCAACTGCATCACCAGAGTCCCCCTTCCCACTCAATCCTATTTTTCTGTAATTGTAAATTTTATATAGATTTGACTCTACTATCAGAAAAGAAGACACAGGCTAAGGGTCTTCCAGTCAAAATTATACAAAGTTAAATACTGTGGTATCAAGTATTTTGTATAGTTTCCAAATAAGTTGGTGTTCTGTGTTTTGTATATATGTTTATATCACCTTTTGTATAGAGTAAGCAAGCTGGCTAATTTGTTAGTAAAAAAAAATACCACATTGACCCACAGTGCCACAGACAAAGCTTAAGGTTTATGTCTCCTCTTTGCTCATTTCTAAGACTTACAAGGAAGGATATGTCTGAAACAAACATTAAAACTGTGTATTTCAGCTTGTTATATATAGCTTAGGCATGTGAAACTATTTACCTGCATGTAAGTTTGCTGTTAAATGTGAATTTGTACATGTATGATTGGAATGATATCTACAGTTTAGTTCTGCAGACTCTAAATTTGTCCCGTGTGTGTGGGTGTGTGTACATATGTATATTTTGGAGTAATATAAAATTAAAGGGAACAATCTTGCATAGCTCCTTCACCAGTTAACTATCTTTAAATTATTCTGTATTTAACTCTGAAGACTCTTGATAAACTGAGGCAGTTCTGTTAAGTGCAGAGCCAGTGGTTATCAGCAGGTGAGGAAACAGATTTTAGGAGATATTTTGTGGCACATAATTTGTCTGGAAAACCCAGGAACAGGGCCAGAATCTTGATGCTACATTTCTAGATGGTCATTTGCATATAAAATAATATGATAAAAATGACTCCTAAGAATGATATGGAATTTTATATAGAAACAAAAGAAAAACAAACCAAAAGGAGAACTTTGATAGAGAATGTACTTTCAACTCTTTTTTCAGGATTGACTTTTTTTCTTTTCTGTAAGCTTCATTTTTAGGTTTATTATAAGAAAGAGGGCCCAATATAAATGCTCATGCCTTTTCACCTATGTGAGAACAGAAGAAAATAAATTTTCAATTTTCCTGCCATCTTAAACAGGAATGTCATTTGAAAAAAAGTGCTAAATATTTCGATTTTTTTTTTTCAAGGCATTTAGGTGAAAGGAGGAAAACCATTATGGGCAGGAAGATGTTCTCCTGCTCACTGTCTGTGAGGCCAAGAGCCCAAGCACAGCTGGGAATCGGCTCGCTCTTTCCAAGTCAGGTCTTCCAACAGAAGTGTGGAAGCCACATTTAGGAGTTTGGAGAATTTCTAACCAAACAAAGGAAAGTGCTAAAGCTCCAAGATGACATTCTAAAGATGCAGGTTTTGGTTTTGTGTGAATTTTTCACATTGCCATCCCTCCCTCCTTTACCTTAAAAACTAGTTAGGAGTGATGTTGGCATGTTCAAAGGACTGAGGGCCATGGATGACTGCAGTGGTTGCCAGTTCTGAGGAAGGGGAGTTTGTAGGAGGATGACTGGGGTGGATCTGAGTAGGCTGCACCTGGAAAAGTGAGTTAACCTTGACAAAGCATAGAGCATACTGGTGTTTATGGGTTTTCAAGCCATAATGTTAAAGTACAATTTAAAATGTAGATTATTAAAATCTGTAAAACATAAGCATGTGTGTCTTAGGTTTCTAAGTCTATTACTAGAAATTATGCAAATAGTAATAAAAAGAAAGGACTGCTCTATATATAGCTGTTTCATTGTTACTGTGAATTTCCTATGTGGATATAAGCATGGTATAAATTATATTACTGTAATAAAACACATTGATTGTATTTATGTTTTCCTTTCATTTATATGTATTATGTAAATCGTCTTTCAATATGTGTTGCCGATGTTTATTCATTGAAATAGTCTTAAAATTGTTATAATATTTCACAAGTATAAATTCTTAAGTAGCTTACATATCCAGAAGCAAATGTAGGTCTACTCTCATCAATTAGAGACCTTTATGTTTCCTACGTGCTTCAAGGTCATGAATTTTTCTGTAAAATAATTTATTTTGGAGGGATCAGTTTTGATTCTATGTACCCAGTAATGTGATGTGAGCCTTCCCTATGTTCCGATGTTTTAAAAATTACTTCCAAGAATTATTAACACATAATCTAAAATACAGAAATTATTTTTTTAAGTAAAACTTTATTTGGGGAAAGAATTTAGGCAGAAAATGAGTAGGTCTATGCTAGTTCTTTAGTATCAGACTGGACATTTATTTCCTTTCTAAAAATGGACATAGATTTAATTTCATGGTAACACTATAGTAAGGAAATGCTTCCAGATAGGGGGAAGTGAAAGTCTAGTATTAAACAGTTAAACACATGCATGTATTTGTGCTTTCCTTTTAATACTGCAATGGTTCATGTATACCCATGTCGGTTAATAGTGACATGAGATTTTGATTGTATTGCATTTTATGTGTTTATAAGATTCTGTTACATGCATGATTTAAGCAGAAATAAAAAGCCACATCTTTTCAGTGAACAAACCAAGTTGCAGTGGCTGACCTGTTGCCTTTGGCATCCAGGTTGAGACCAGCTGACTCTCTGGCAGCTCCCCTTGGTTGTTAGATGGTCCATTCATGGTCACACTTAGTGTTCTGGGATGGGAAATCATGGATTTCTTCCATCTCCAAGAATGACTCAATCTGCATTGGATTCCAGAATGGAATTTAGCAACTCAGTGCATCCTGAATTAATTTCTACTGAAGTGCTCTTGTGTACATTTGTTCTAAAATTACAGTACTCCTTGGGTGTATTGTGCCTTCTACAGCAAGTTGATGTAATTGCTTTTGTGATCATTGTTTTATATATATATGTATTAGAATAACTATGAACAGACTAAAATCGCATTTCTCAGTGTTCAAAATATCCTTCTAATAAAATACATAATTAAACACTTTAAAATACAATTGTGTTTATTTGGCATCCAAACTGTCCAACATTTATTATGGATGTGGTCCTGTGAACACTACAAAAGAATGATATCAAAGAATCAATGAATAGTTGGACATTTCTTTCAGGAGCCAAATTCTGGCTGTTTGCAAAATTGATGTGAAGAATCTTTGGGGGGAAAAGGATACACTCTTACCTATTCAAATATTTTCGCTTCAGTCTAAAGCAAAATTCATCTCTTAGTTCCTTCCTCTAAAATTTCTGTTGGCCCATCAGAGGGAAAAGATCATGATGCTCTCTACACTGGTTTGCTTGTGGTTGCAGAAATTTTGCAATATATTTCACAGAAGCATCTTCAATAGTAAATTAGAAACAGGTGTTTGGCAGTGGCACTCTCAAAACTCCCAGTATGCATTTAACATGAGCAATTTTTAACATCCTGCTGACTGAATAAAATACAGTAGTTCACATTCCATAGGCACAGGGGCCTCCTGTAGAGTGTATCCCTGATGGTAGCTTGATAAACTCTGGCAATAGAGATTTGTACTCTTTTGCTCAAACTCCTTCTCTAGCACCTTCACAATAAGGCACAAAAATGAATGTTTGCTAAGTGAGTAAGCTAATGCATTGGATTGAATTTCTCTTAAATAATGGGGAAATGGGTGTTAGACACTTTAAATAACTAAGCAAAATGTAGTAGTTAATTCTGTGAAGAAGTGTCATCTCATCTCCCTTGGTATCTGTTTAGATGATGATCAGTTATGCCTTTCTAAAAATACAAGTTAGGACAATATGATTCATAATCTGGCTCTAAAACTCATCTAAAGAAAATCAAAACCTGGCCGGCGCTCTGGCACAGAGGGTTAACGCCCTGGCCTGAAGAGCCGGCATTCCATGTGGGCGCCGGTTTGAAACCTGGCTGCTCCACTTCTGATCCAGCTCTCTGCTATGTCCTGGGACAGCAGTAGAAGATGGCCCAAGTCCTTGGGCCCCTGCACCTGCATGGGAGACCCGGAAGAGGCTCCTGGCTCCTGGCTTTGGATCAGCGCAGTTCCGGCCGTTGAGGACAACTGGGGAGTGAACCAGTGGATGGAAGACTTCTCTCTTTCTCTCTGCCTGTCTGCCTTTCCTCTCTCTGTGTAACTCTGACTTTCAAATAAATAAATAAATCTTTAAAAAAAAAAAAACAAACCTACCATCTTAAAAAAATTACAGTATTTATTCATTTATTTGAAGGGCAGAATGAGACAGAGACACACAAAGAGATCTTCCATCCATTGGTACCCCAGAAGCCTGTAACAGCCACAGCTGGGTCAGGTTTGTGGGGAGCAACCCGGACTGGACTGAGTTACTGGAATTAAGACTTATTCTATGCATCTGCTCTCCCACAATATGGCGCTGGGAGAGGAGAAAACAGCTTCTACGCAGCTGCCTCTTACCAACTTGAGTGATGACCTCCAGGATCCTGCTCCTGATTGGAGGAGAGCAGCGTACTCGGCGTGTGGGCAGCCGAGTTGGGATTGGCAGAGGAGGACTATAAAGGAGGAGAGAGACGGCATGCACCAGGAACATCTGAAGGAACACCTGGGCAGCCCCTGAGAGAGCCGGCCGGCGGTGTGCCGCTCCCCCGCGGAAGTGGGGAATGTGGCAGGGGGAACCGCCCTTCCACGGAGGTGGAAGGGTCGGTAGCCAACCCGGGAAGAACCAGCAGCAAACCCGGGAAGGGCCGAGCAGACAAAAGAACAGCGTAGGGTCCTGTGTCGTTCCTCCACGAAGAGGGGGAGCGACAAGCTTGAAGCCAGGAGCTGGGAATTCCATTCAGGTCTCCCACACAGGTGGCAGGACCCCCAGGTCCTTGGGCCATTGTCCACTGCCTCCCAGGGGCATTGGCAGGTTGCCGGATTGGAAGCATCAGAGGCACTAGACCCAAGGCACTCAGCTAATGGATGCAGGTGTCTCAAGAGGCAGCTTAGCCCACCACACCACAATGCCCACCCCAATGGGACAGGACTTAGACATGACCACATATGGATGTCCAAAGAGGAACCATTGAGAACTTGTTGTACATTTCTGTGAAGAACACCAGGGTGGGTCAAGTGGGGCTTGGGGAAAGTGGGAGTTGATTTTCCTCCCTAGAAGAACTTCATTGGGAAATTTAAAAAATGAGAAAAGCAACTTATACCAGAAAGAACACTGAGTAGGTGACCTGAACATCCTTGTGGAAGCAAGAGCTATCAAACCAGCAATAGAAATTGTGGGTCACACATCGAGGACAAATTCTTTCAAGGACTGGGATACCTATGACATCTCTTAGGAGACAGGGAGCCAGAGGCAAGACAAGTGAAATTCTCCATGGAGTCCAGTGCAAAGGTGAAAATGCAGGGCCCTCCCTAAAAATCTATCAATAACTTCAAGATGGCAAGTACAGAGCATCAAGCCAAGCACGAGGTCCTGTGTGGCTACACATTTTACACTGATGAAGCAGACCCTAACCACAGGGCAAATACTCTCTGGGAGCAAACCCTGCCGGTTAATGCAGAGCAGAGCAAAGAAAGAAGCATAACATAAACAAGCCGAGGACGGTGCCTTACAGAACCGTGTAAATGCTAAGAGAGCACAGGCCCCACAGAAGTGATAAAAGCAGCAGAAGAAACATTCATGGTAAGAGCCAAGAAAACCAGCCTTCAGTAAAGATTATAATGTAATCAGTCCTAGGCACCTTTCCTCAGGAGATTCATTGCTTCTGAAAATTCTATAAGCTGAGAATAAGGTATTGTCTTGTCCCGGGTTAGGTTCCCTGAGAAGCAGACTCAGATGAGAGGACTGTGCCTGGAGTTTATCAGGGAATGCTCTTGGGAGCATTGCATGGGACAGGGAAGGGAAGTAAGCAGGACTGGGCCGAGGCAGAAGTAGGACTGTGATGCAGTCACAACAGAGATGTACTTCCCTCCCAGGGAGCTCTGGGGTTGGGCTGACCCTTAGAGTTACGGCCGCCTTGTTAGGGTCTGGGAAAAAGGGCTTTCTGACACCCACAGTGACCAGTCATTGCATGCAGAGTGTCCTTGGAAACAAACAGAACATGACTGTGGACAAGGAGGCTCTCTTCTGCTAGAGCAAATACCTGGAGAGGATGGGGGATGGGTGTTCTTCCCTGCAGGGCCCCTAGCAGCTCCAGGAAGACTTCCTTCTATCCAGAAGGCAGGTTCTGGACAGCAGCCACTAAATTTAAACTCCTTTTAGCAAACAAGACTGGAAAAAAAAAAAAAAAAAGGAAATATTTGTCCAAGGTCAAACCCTCATTCCGAGAAACTGCCCCTTACTCATAGCTCCTGTTTCATTGCTTGTCTGGGTTTATAGCAAGGGACGCTTCTTGCTGTTTGGACTACCTGATCCTTAGTAGAGTCAATCCTTGGCTCATCAACCACCATATTCTTTCTTAAAAACATATACTGGGGCTGGCACTGCGGAGTAGCAGCGCTGGTTTGAGACCTGGCTGCTCCACTTCCGATCCAGCTCTCTGCTATGGCCTGGGAAAGCAGTAGAATATGGTCCAAGTCCTTGGGTTCCTGCACCCATGTGGGAGACCCAGAAGAAGCTCCTGGCTCCTGGCTTTGGATTGGCCCAGCTCCGGTTATTGCGGCCATTTAGGGAGTGAACCAGCAGATGGAAGACCTCTCTTTCTCTCTCTGCCTTTGCCTCTCTGTAACTCTGCCTTTCAAATAAATAAATAAATAAAATAATTAATAAATAAAATAATAAAATAAATATTTTTTAAAAATTAGACTAAGAGCTGGGTGGGCTCTCTGGCTGTACAACAGGAAGAGCTAGGAGTGAGATTGTATCAAACTGGCCTGGCTGTTTCCTAGAAGGCGTGCACACTACCA